CATATATCTCTCAATCAGGAAACAGAAATTGTTTAGTTTTAAGTTAAGGAAGCAATAAAACAGTAATCTTAATAAGTAACGTCTCTCTCTTTCTCTCTCAAAAAGTTTCATATTAACCCTTAGTTACGACGGTTCTTTTCGGCACCTTTAATCCCGACTCATGGTTTGCATCTTTGCGTTATTTGGATCAGTAAAAACGCTTTAAAAAATCTGAAAAAATTCATGGAGCTTTTTTCAACCTTCAACTTGAAGTCCCAATTATAATATTTCGATAAAAATTATTTTTTTATATAGTTTGTTATTAAGAAATGGGGGTACCTTACAGCACTTTGAAATTTCGCTTGGGTCGAAAACGACCCATGAGTCAGAACTAAGGGTTAATTATTATTTATATTTTAAAAAATTACGACAATCTCGCTTTAATGACACCACTATCAAGATATTGTTTTATTACTACTTTTTATTACTCCTTTAAAACTAAACAATTTTTGAAACATTTTTTCAAAATACATATTTTTTTCAAATATTTTATATAGGCATTTGACATGTAAGTATCTTTATGAGCATAAAGGAAAGATTATTAGCAAAATTTCAAAAAATAAAAGCTTTTATTATATTACATTATTTTAAAAAATAGACACATTTCAAAAAAGGTAAAGTACGTATAAGTAATATAAATAATAGTACCTTTGAAGCACATTTTATTATAAAATATGTAATTTTTTTTTAATTTTTTATTTACTATATAATGTAAAAATCACAATAAAAATAAAATTTGTATATATAAAAACAAAAACTAAAGATACGTCTTGTACATTTCAAAATTGTACTAGTCACAGTGTTAGATATAAATTAATAAACTTAATATTACTAAATATTATAACTTAATATGAATAATACTACATACATAATATTTTATACATAAAATTGCTAATATTATGTATAAATTATACACATGAACAAAATATAAAAAAAAGTATTGAATATTTTATTGTGCAACATTCAGTTTTTTTATTTTTTCAGTTGCATGACGAAGCCATGATTTAATTGGTTCCGAAATTTCGTGCTTGGTAGCTTGCGGGTATTTTAATTGAACTGCACCTACAAATACGTATAAACATTTATATAACATAAATATAAACATATACCTCTTATATTTTCATTCTCAATATATTTTTAATTTTTTTAAACCAGATGTTTAATGAATTAAATGGAAAGTTAATCTAATTTTTATAATATAATAACTAAATCTAATGTATGTATTATATGTATAT